GCACATTCATTCACATCATAGATCACAACAAAAAAGGTGTCTCTGCGTTCGAACTACCTCCTGTGGTTCTGTTCTATGAGACACTCGAAACAAAACAAAATCCAAAAGAGAAGTATTTCCATTTTTAAGCAAAATCGACTGGACCTGTTTTTTCCAAAATGCACGCAAGTTGTTGGTGAGATTAGCCAGCTACCCTTCCGGCCAACTTGGCAGCCATAAAAGAAAAAAAAGGCTTCCTTCTTCTGCTTGCTAGTGCCGTCGTGTATGCGGAATTCCCCGTGAAGCTGTATTTGTACATAAATAAGTTCACGACTGGCTTCCTTCGTATGATCACCTTCACTGCCTTCTGGGTTCGTCTTGTGTAAAGAAAAGAGGTGTTTAAGTTTCGAGGCTGGGATTTGCTTTGGGGATCGTACTCGTGAACAACATTATTATAAAAGGGTGATCTAGATGTAAAGATGTGGAATCTGATATGGTTTCACTCTAGTAATCATCAATTTCTGGTTTCAGTTGAAATTGGAGTGTCTAAGAGAATCGTCAAAATAGATTATGTTTAGCAAAGCTTACGCCCAAGCATCCAATTGGAAATTTCCTACATTATCAAGAAAATTTTTGATGGTGGTATAAAGGAAGATATACGGATTAAACCTTGAATATTTACTAACAACTCAAGTTATTTAATTTGGTTGTGCTACTTCGTCGTAGTATTCGAGCATTTGTCCGCCATATGCTCTCCGGTCTTGGTGATCCCCCAATATTGTTTAACATCAAAGCACGTAATCTACAAAAGTTATGATGAGTCTGTGCAATTGTCAACCCAATAGAATATCATTTGAGAGAGGAGGTGTTTGTATATGAAATATATAAGACTCGATCTTGAACGATTGAATCTTTGTGACAACTCACATTGTTTGGATGTAACGAATCTCGATGTGTTAGTTGTGTTAGGAAGTGGTTAAGTATCATACACAAATGTCTCGTAATAACTCGAGTTATTGTAACCAAACTGATAATGAATTCGTATCTTTAAATCTCCCGCTGCCAAGAACTCGCCAATATTTATGAGGGTGGGGATAACTTGAGAACACCGGTTCCCACTGCAAATAATGTCTACTCCTGGCTTTTGTTAATAATGGATGGATGGTGCTTCATTGCAGGTCGTGGTTAAATTGAAACCTCACATACATATGCTGGAATTATTGTCAATAAATGCAGAACTGAAAGAGAGGAAGACACGACAAAGAAAGAAAGAAGAAGAAGAGTGTTGCAGGCAGCTCATTTTTAGTAATTGCTCTGTCCCGCAACTCTAACTTCAGTGTCAGGTTCATGTTCAGATATGGTTAGGACATTAGAAACAATAAGTACAGGTTTACTATTACGTCTACATATTTTTTTTGTTTGTCGCAATGTTGAAGCATTCAAGGTAGACTGGATCTACTAATTTTTTCTACCCTTTTCTAGAGGATCACTTTTCTTTAACTTATTGCTGATGGAGCAAAGATTCAATGAGTGAAAGAACTCATGGTACGTTCCAATGTTTAGTTTTAGAAATATTTATTGTATTCGGTCGGACGGTAAGTATCGAATATGGAGTCCAAACGGCAGATAGTTTTAGCAGTATATGAAATGGCTCAATCACGATTTTAGTACAAAACTATCCTCTTATTAAATTTTCGGTATAATTTTCGATACGGCTTCACAATTAATGTTAAATAAACGAATTAACCTAGCTAAGGTAAAAGAGACATGCAGTTGAAATTTATTTATTTTTATCATCTTATCACTTTTTTTACCACAACCATTAGCATTATTCAGAACATAAATGACGTGAATCACAGACATGGAATCTCAACGCTGGAGATTAATCGGCTAGTGGAACTTGATTGGATGTTTCTATTTCCCACACTTTTAGGGAATGTAATTTTGCGGCTGATTTCCTTGCTTGTAAAGGACACAACTGATTTTGGCACACTCCTATATTGATTGCGATCCAGGTCTCCGCTACTTAATTTATGTATGATGTTATGGGGATTATCCATGAACGCATCAATGTGATTTAAGAGTCTGTATTCTACCAAAAAAAAGTTTGTGTATGACATATTGCTAATTGTATAAGTATATTTAAATCGATTAGAGTAATGTTTTGCACCATAAATGATTATATATGTATATTAATCCGAAAAAACCTTTACGTTGCATGATTAAGACAAAGTATACCAATGGAGGCCAGCGGCGCAGTCATATGGAGTCATGCATGGCGAGGGAGGAGTTACGGTGCTAATTGTACAAGAGTTAGCACCGTCCTAACCAAGAGTTAGTAGTGATTTAGCTTAGATGTTGTATTGATTTTATAATAATCCGTAGTGATTTCGTTGTTTTTAGTAGCGTTTTTTGCTAGTTATCACGGTGCTAATCCCTATAAGAGTTATCACCTAATCCCAATCCCTGCATGGCGACTTTAATGAGGTAAGGCTGTCACAAATCCATGCATATATGGATGGGCCCTGTAACTGTAAGATCCTTTATTTTTGCCATGTGGGCTTGCTTGCTTTCGTCGACACTAATAATTCGGAATTAATTAAATTTGGTAATGGAGAATACAATAAAAACGTCAATGGCAACAATAGTGTATTACTATTCATCGCAAGTGGCCAAATTATTTCTCAACGGTAATCATAAATATGAGATAACAATAATCAAGGCTCCCAGTCCCAGGCTGTACGTAGTAAGTAGTGTAATTTGGGCAATTGAAAAAAAAATACAATATAAGGAATAGAAATGGATGGGGAAGCTCATAAATCCCCACCAGACCACTACGAGAAGTTGTTGTGAGAGGTTCAATAATTGATTTATTTTATATTAATATGTTTTTTTCATACGAAAGTTATTCATATAGGCTTTAAGTTTGCACAGGCATCAGATACCATGAACTTATTAATGGAAGTTATCGGGATTCAAACAGAAGACCTCTCGAATACAGAAGGCTCTGGTATCATTTCAAAAAACTAGTTAGTTTCAAAAACTCGAATTGCTAGTAGATGTTTAATAATTGATCTTATATCAGTACTCTCAACCACACCACCTTAGCCAACGGTGGGTTCCATAGGAGTATGGCGTGGCGTGGCTTGCAGTAGCGGTTGGTTGTTGGCATCATCACCACAGTAATAGGTTGTGAAAGTAAATATTTTTATCACTAATTGACTAGGTGAAGTTATGGTACTTACATTTTTTGTTGCAATAAATTTTTGGGTAATGTCTATTTTTTATCCAAATCTTTTTCAGATTCTTTTATTTTATCCAAATCTATTAAAATGCTATTAATTATCCAAATCTTTCGTATGAATCAAAATATTAACCATTTTTACGTTATTGTTAATAATTTTGTAACTCTTTTCTTAGTTAAAATACTAAAATTTTGTAATGTTGACCTTCATGTGTCTCTTCCAAATCAGTATCATGTTGCCAAGTCAATATTATAACAAAATTGCTAACTGAAACTTAACATTTTGTTAATTCTTAGTATTTTGATAGGTTTGGCTAATAAAAAAAATCCGGAAAAGATTCGATTAAAAAAATAGACATTGCCCTAAATTTTTTATTCCAAGGGGTTTATGACAATTATAAAGGAGAAGGGACACACTTATTATTATTAAAATTAGGAACACAAGTGTGGACCTATTTTTAAATTTTAAAAGTTAGGTACCAAATATAAGTCATAAAAAAAATTCCGTCAATATTTATATGACTTATATGCAAAGAAAGGTTAATTTTAGTTACTAACTCTAAAAAAATATGTTAAGTTCATATACCAAACTATAATTTTGAAATACCTAAGCGAGGATAACGAAGAAAGCTGGCTTTCCAAAGAATTGCCCAACAAAAACTGTTTCTTTGCACCTTCCTCCACAATCTCGCGCGGGATCTTTATAGAGAACCATTCATAAACTCAGGCTTGTAGTAATCAAGCCAATTATCCGTAGCAATCCCAAAAAGCGGCACCATGTCACCGCCAACACCTCGATGACGGCTGCCGTCGGATAAAAACCTCATGAAGAGACTTTTCATAGAGCAATGGATGAGAGAGAGAGAAGACCAACTCAATGACTACATATTACCAAATTTAATTAACCAATGAAAATCTGGGTGAGGTTTTTTAGTGAAATCAGACAAGTTCAGTTGATGATTCACTGACTGATGCGTACTTGGGTTCAGTAAACAGTTGTTGCCAACATTGAGAGATACCATAATCCATATAGGCATATACACGACCTTTCGACCATAAAAAACGTTGATAGCTTAGGGTTTAAGGAATTGTTAGCCTGTAACTAGAGGTGGCAATTCTCAATCCAATCCACCAACCCATTAAAATTATCCACCTAATCCAATCCATTTAAGTCCAATCCATTGATCCAAATCCAATTGGATTGGTGGATTCATCGATTGATCCATGGATTCAAATGGCAAATTACGTTCTGGTACCTATATTTTTATATTTTACATTATGGTACCCAAAATTTAATTTTTTATACGAAAACTATAATTGGAAAAATACATTTTAGTACCTAAATTTTTCACATTTTACATATTGGTCATTGGTTGAGGATGTCATTTGGATTCATGGATAATCCACCAATCCACTTGATACAATCATTGGATCCAATCTATTTGATCCAGGATCCACCAATCCATTTGCCACCTCTACCTGTAACAATGTCTCGAAGGTTTGACTGAAAGATTTAAGTCGAGTATAGGGATCCCCATTCTGATATTTGAAATAGCACTTCAGTAAGTAATTAAACTGAGCCGTGAAGTGGTGTGTAAGAACAAGTATTCCAACTTTGTTTGTGGACTGTATCAGTAGTTGGCCGACGAATCCCCTCTCCGAATCTGTTGTCTGGACCAAATGTTTAATTCTACGGGTTGGGCCAAGATCAGGGGCCTGGGAATCACAGCTCCCAAGTATTAGGTGAAGCATCTCCCTAAACCTAATGGAATGGAGATGCACAACATAGAGACGCGAAATCTATTATCCACAAGTTCTGAACACTGTTGCCAAATACAAGCGTGTTATTAGGAATATAGGGAGAGGGGCATAATCATCAAATTTACAAAGCCAGAAAGAAAGCAACCCCAAAGTCAACTCTCAAATTAAAGCACCCAGCGAAACTCAAAGTTGCATATTGTGTCATGAATGACAGATTATGTTCCGTGACAAATCAAAAAACCCCCAATGAACCAACTTCAGTTTACCCCAAAGCCAGAGGGAGCTTTACCAACACTTTTTGTACAAACAAAGGCCATCTAGAAACAACATCCAGGACTTTAGAAAAAGAAAAGGAAGAAGCGCCACTTTGCAGACACCTAGTGAGCACTGACAAGGAAAGGGTGCTGACAGACTCCGCATTCTATGGTCTCTGAACCTGAGCTCGGGACCTGAACCTGCATTTTGGTAAGAACGGCGATTCACATCAGTACTCGTATAAAGAAAGAACTTGTTGGCATTACTATGAAGGAACAGCATATTCAGTTTTCCGACCTGGAGATGGACAGTGCAAGTAGGGCACGCGACTTCTCTCATTCGCTTGCCAGATGATCCTTCAGAAGATTTTGATCCCGAGGATGTCTTGCGATTCCTTTCCATCTCTCCTGTCATTATGTTTCATATGCATTAGGTGACCGATGCAGAAAGAAAAGAGTACAGGAAGAGATGGGGTTGTTACTCAAATACCTGAAGTTTCTGGCGAGGTCCTCATGGCTAATTAATCCTGCAGGTTTACTGGCTGCTTCTTTAGTATTCGTCAACGCTGTGTCACTTCCGCCTGCAAAAACAGAGTTGCCGCAACGTGAAGATACAGCAACAAATGATAGATGCATTCACAAAATACCCCTTCTCAACAATAATTGTACGCAGACACAGTGAATAACCAATAGTTTGGTCAACAACGGAAATGATCCGAAATAAAAATGCTGTTAAATAGCTTTTGCTACATTTTGCAGTATCTTCAGAGAACCAAATCTAATGTTAATGCGAGCCTGTAGATCAGATTTTCTGTTATATTTCCTTCTCCTACCACAAGCATATATAATATAATAAAAGGGACGAAGGTAAACTTATCAGGAACTATTGTGCTCAGAAATCACATCTTTCCTTCTCTTCAGAATATTTGCTTGTCGTTACATGAGCATTAAAACTACCACCTACTATGCCTGGATCCTAGACATTAGGCCCAAACGCCTGTGCACATAACTAAGACTGGTATCCTACACTATTACCTAAAACATGCAGAACACAGATACTGAAAAGCCACGTATCATTGGGGGGAGAACGGTGTGAATTTGGGTTGACAGACTTACCAGGCACCGGTCGCAAACTCTAACTGGCTGGCATTCTCCTCAGCAGTAAGAGCAATTCTTCCATGGGTACATTTATCACAGAATATGTCGCCACAGTTTCTGCAGTGGTGCTGTTTAGATGTTCCAAACATAACCAGAGTTAGAACCACCACAACACGGCATGCACAAGATGGAAAATACAAGTTCAAAAAACCAAGAAGAAAAAGAAAATTACCCTTCGAATGAATGCATTAAAATCAGTCCCACATCCTGTACACTTCATTACTGCTTCATCAGGGACCTATGGAAACAAAAACAAAAACAAAAAAACAGGTTTAACAGTCAACTAAAAAAAGCAATGTACTTCTGAAGATGGACAAGAACCTGAAAGCATGCAGCCTAACAGATATACACATTATGTTTCTTCATTTTAGGATAGGGGTTGAAAGGATATACAAATTCTTACCCAATGATCTTTCTCCTCATTAGCGGGCTTTATGAAGTTCATCCAATCACCAAAACCTTTCTTCCTCTCTGCCGTCTGCTCAGATATCTTTGAATGATCTGAAGGCTTGGGTCTTCCCCCCATTTCCTTCAGCTGCAAACATGTCACCAAATAATAACCCATCAACCAAAGAAAGCGATAACAAGGAGAAGAAACTTGTCTATCAATCAAGTGAGAGCTATGTAGTCAAGAAAAGTTGAGCAATGAGCACTGTTATGAACCAACCTGTATGGTTGCAGCAGTCACTGTATCAAGAAGTGTACTGGTCGTGTAGCTATTTGATTGCAACCTGATGCGCCTTGGTTCAACATCCACAGAGCTCTTGGACCAGAAGGCAAAAGTTGACGAGTCCATTTTCTTTGGATTAAAGAACAAAACAACAGTAATAAGTCCACACGCCAGAGTTAAAGTTATATTACAAGAATGAAAAAGCGTAAAAAAAGCTTCCTTACATCACATCTTGTGATGTTCTCAAGGGGATAAATTCTGAGTGTCCGACTGGTATTGGGATCTAGCATCTTAATTCCATCCAAACCAATCTGCATGAAAAATAAAGAAATCATGAGCAAAAATTCATTTCAGAAACAGAGGGAAAACTCACCTCAAATTAAAGGCAGAAACAATCCAAGTAAATATGAAGAAGATGAATAGACAAGTTAACGTGCTATAACTATTTACTATCACATGTGTAGAAGCTTGTATGGCAAAGAATTTCAAATCATGATAGAAACATGCACGAGAAGTCGTACAACACAATAGCAAACTTTTGAACCCAATTGGAAGCAAAAATTAATCAGGAACAACTGACTCCTGCTATACTATCCTTCAAACTTGTTACTAAACATACCGTTCCTAAAGCACTTATATTTATCAATCGAATCACCAACAAATTGCTCTACAACCAATGACCCAACACCTAAATAATTAATTTCGCAATTTCCTCACAACTGCAAATGAGCCCAATCGTTTCATTTGGCAAGTCAGTAAAACTAGCTACTTAGGACTTCAGAAGACAGCAACTATTAAGCAACTCACATAAAACAGAATCAAATAGAATCACCCTCCGTGTTCTGACCTAGAAGAGTCGGAATTCCCATAATTCTATGTTGTAGCTACTTAACCAAAAGGGCAAACAAAATTTTAATGGAGCAGAAACAATGTGCCATGAACCAAACACCTGCTAATGATGAAAAACTATCCCCACACCATTGAACTAAGCCATTCAATAAGTAATCTCTATTGTACTACAACACGATAAGATATCCGAAAGACATCAAGAATGTGGTACCTGGCAAAGCACATCCATGGTGCTCTGGCCTCCACTTCAGCAAGAAGCTTAACCCTGAACTTCTGCACACCACTCTTCACATCTTCCTGAGTGTCCATCTTAGGCACTGCCCTCACAATCTTAGGAGAATTCAAACCAGAACCCGAACCCAAAGAAGAGTCCTTTGAGCTAGGACGTTAATGGCTCTTCCATAATCATCGAACATACCCCATGTTGAAGACTTCGGTGCCGTCCCTCGTGCCCCGTACGGCTCCACCTTCCCACCTTGATAGCAATAACACCATCACCATATCCACCATCCCGACCCATTTCAGACCTCCCTTCTGACCGCATTCCATAAGGATCCATCCCCAAATCAGACCGACCCGATTATAGATCCCATACTTATCGTCAAAATACCCAACGCCATGATCGAACTTCGGCGAATTCTCATACTGGTTATCATACACAGGCGGAACAGACGATCCTACCGGATTAAGGGACGAATAAGACACATAGGGCGCTCCGGCGATCGGATTCGAGGCAGGCGGTGGCGGGGGCGGGGCAGCAGCATAGCTGGCACCAGGGTCTGATGGTGATCGAACGGCGGGAAATACGATTGCTGCGCGGGTGGCTGCTGCTGGTAAGCAGCCCCGAGCGAATCGTAAGGCTGGAAAGCCGGCTGCTGGGCTGGCGGTGGATTGAACGGGGATTGGGAATTCAAAGGAGCTGAAGCCGGTTGGGAGTACGAGGCAGCTGCGGGATCGGAAGAGTAAGGAGGTGGAGGAGGGTAAGATTGAGGAGGATAGGCGCGGAGTAATCGTTGGGAGGGTAGCTGGGGGAGAACGGCGGCGCCGACGCCGTCTGGTGGTGATCGATCGAATTGGGCGGGTTTGGATTGGGATTGGGGTTAGGGTTTTGGAAGGTGGGGAACTGGTAGTAGGAAGCGTAATCTCCCTGGTGCATCGCTGGTTCTTCGAGTTGCAGAGATCGGAAGATCGGCAATTGGAGAATTCTCTGGCTTTCTGCTATTAGCTTTCTCTCTCTCTCTCTGTAACTCTTTCTGGCTTCCACGAGACGATGACGAGGGAATTTGAGGAGAAATGAAGGGAAACAGGGAAGGGAAGGGAATGGATTAGTGGGTGTTCGGGAAGAATCGGTTGCGTGCAGGTGAGAACACGGTAAGGTTCGACGATCCTGCTCACGGGAAGCGCCACGTCATCTTACCTTTTTTAACTACGGGATGGTCTCATGGTCCAGTGACGACCGTGGGCCGCGGTCACCTTGGACAACGAGTGTGGCCCAATACCGATAGCCTAAGCTGGTTTTCCATTGAAACCTATGGAAAACTAGGGGCCAAGTTCAGCCATTTATCTGGTCTTAATTAGTGTGACAAACGCAATGGATCACTCACTATATTGGTGATGGATACTCCGGAATAAAAGTACCCCAAAAAAAAATTTAGTGTAGTTGTTGGTTGATCACGTAGAATTTTTTTATGTAAGGATGATATATTACATCGAGATTTTAAAGTCATGTATTTTCTTTTCTGAGAGAATGATTGAAAAGGATAACATTCGAGAAGTTAATGATATATTTCGGAGACATTGAGTCTAAGACTTTGGAAATGCAACAATATGATAGAGAGATATCCTAGTTATATGTCCTTCAAATACAATTGTTTCAATAAATCAACCACAATCGGCTTCGAAAAACTTTCACAACTCCTATTTGACGGTACATGGACTTCCTATACTATCTCTTAAAGAAAACACATCAATTAATTGTTGAAGTAAATGAATTAATTTTGTTCCTTTTTTTCATCATCTTAAATTGGTTAAGAATATCCAGCATTTCACACATGTTTCTATACTATAAAGTGAGTAAATATGAGATTTATTTACCTTAGTTAGAAGAAAACCAAAGATTTCTTCATTTATTAAAACAATACATCTGTCATCCATATCGCCCCTCGTTCTCAATTTACCCCTAATATTTTGCATTAGTTATTTAAAACCAAAATACTTACTCCCAAAACAACCAAAGATTCACCCAACTCATCAAAAAACCAAAAACTAACAACAACTAAAACAGAACATTCTATAAAGGAAGAAAAACCATTGAATTCCTTCCCATATCAAACATCCAATTCCCGAATATATTACAACCTCAACCCTCAGCATTATTCACCGCAGAAGAAAAAACACACAAAGCTCCAAAAGAATGGCGAAAAGCGCAGTAATTTTGTCCCTCTTCGCATTCTCCGTAGCCTCCTCTCTATGGGCCCACACTTGCGTCGCTAGCGTCAGCATAAGGCTGGCGGGCCCAGAAATCTCGGCCATATGCGACAAGAGCGTCGACCGCCAGTTCTGCCTCAACTTCCTGCAATCGACGCCCGGAATCTCCACCGCCGATCTCAAGGGCGCCGGCTTGATCGTCCTCGACTCGGCTCGAGCCGAGGCGTCGAGCACCGAGAGCTACGTCAAGGCGCTTCTGGGGAAGGCCACGGATCCCAAGCAGAAGGAGGTCTACAAGACGTGCCTGAGCAACTACGACGACGCCGTCGACGACATCGAGGCGGCGAAGGCGTCGATGAGCGGCGGCGACTACAACGGCGCCAACATTCAGGCGTCGGGGGCTCAGGAGAACGCCGACACGTGCGACGAAGGGGTGAAGGGGTCGGATCTGTCGAAGAAGAATCAGCACTTGTTTAAGGTTCTCGACATCGTTTTGTTATTGCCAACAAGTTGCGCGGTTGATGATTGAATTTGTTGTGAATTGAGGATTTGTCTCTTTTTTTTTTCTCATGTGGTTATAGAATAAATGATGGTAATTATTATATTACAGAGGATTAATGGGAGCGGTTTCTAGTCTTGTTGTTGCATGGATTTACAGTCATTGGTATGTTGCACCGGTTTTCGTAGCAAATTCTGAAAGAGTTTGATTGGTTAAATCTGCACGTTGATATGACTTGAATCGAATTTGATGTAATTCGAATGAAAGTCATGGTATATGGTTTTATATACGTTGAGTTTCTGTTCTGTAATTGATACCTAATTCTTTATTATATTGGATAGGGTTAGTGAAGGAACTAAGGATTTAGGCGCGTACAGTTAGGATAGACTCACAATATCACTCGAGAAAGAGGTGTCTCGGTATCAGAATTAGAGAGTTGAGGATTAAGAAAGAGAGAGATAGAGAGAGGGGAGAGAGGTTTGGCTGCCTCTGTAGAGAAGAGAGCCGTCGAGTGGAAGGGAAAAACGAGAGAGAGAATTACGTTTAGGAATAATTATTCTTATTACTTGCTTCCTGAAATAACAACCAAAGTCCCTCAAATAGGTATAAACTGCCAACCCGACCCAAGTACTGAAGACCCTAGGATTTATGTTTCCTACAGTTAGATCATAAGGAGAAGTACTATATATAATTCTCAATTGTTTTGTAATTCTGCAATTTTTTAAGTATAGTGAAGCCGACTCTCTCCTGTTCGTAGACTAATTAGCACACATTGAAGTGAACCATGTAAATTTGTGTTATTTTTTTCTTAAATCGTTATATTTTTTACATTGTCGATTATGTCGATTCGTTGATTTGATTGACGTTACATTCCATGATGCTGGTAAATTGGTAGTAATTAATCTGCCTCGATCAAGTGATACGTGATCGTGATGGTAGTTAGAGTGTAGATTAATTGGACCATGATAGTTCGGGACTTATTACTACTCACCACGGTTCGATGTGATACACGTCTACAATGGGTGGTTAATGGTTATAGGGTGGGATTGGTTAGACAGTTACACTGGTTACTCAAATTGGCTACAAACATAATAAAAAAACTGAACCCAGTTGTGTAATTGGCCAAGCCCAGGTTAAACCATTCGCAATAGAAGGGCTCAAGCCTGACAAAAGAGGGATTAAGCGCACGTAGAGTTGTTTGCCAGAGCTCCCCATTATACAACTCACATCCCCAAATTAGGACTTGTAACAGTTTCGGTAAGGATTAATCTAGGCTTAGAATAGGATGTATAATCATGGTTATGCACCCATCAATAACTAAATTTGAACCATTTATTTAGAAAATTCAGATCTAACGATGAAGAATTAAAGTTCATTTTTATTTTCTCTAAACTTTCTTAATCGGCTCATATCTATTTCGTTTTAACTCGGATTTTAATTTTTTTCACAGATGGAACGAGTTCATCGTGCTCTACAAAATGAGATCTATTTTTAATATTTTTTAGAAAAAAAATTCTTGCCCCTCGGTCCGAACTGCATACCATATGGTATCTTCTTCGTTTTTAATTCGCTTTTGAAAACGTTTGCAGAAGGGACGAGTTCATCATGATCTATTGGATCTACAAATTTCTGGGTGAACAAATTACAGGATCAAAAAATACCACACAATATCATACAATACCACCCTGGTACAGGGTGGTATCTTGTGGTGCACAATGTTAAAAGTCGTAAATGACAGTAAATATACTTCTACTATCATGTATTCAACATCCTACTGTCTTGGTTTGTTCATACCACCATGATACGCTTTTCAAACCATAGGTATGCTCTTATTTCAATACCAGTCAATACCATATGGTATAGACTGTAAAAAATTGCTCAATTTTTTTTGTTCGAAAAATATATCAAAGTGGATATCATTTTGAAGAGCACAATTAATCTGATCTAACTGTGCAAAAAAAATTCGACTTAAAAACGAGTGAGAAATCGTCCGTCAAAGATTAAGGAGGGGAAAATTAAAGGCTTTCCAGGAGAGAGAGGGATGTTGATGTCATGCTGATGTGGACGGGTTACTCATGGTTACTCATCATAAGGTTACTGACCTGATTCGTTCCCTAATCTAGGGGTGGCAACATAATCCGGGGAACGGATCAGGTCAGTAATTAGTAACCATGAGTAACATGTCCACATCAGCATGACATCAGTATCATCTCTCTTCTGGAAAGTCTTTTATCTATTCCCCTTTAATCTTTTAACTGACGATTTCTCTCTCGTTTTAAGTCGAAATTTAATTTTTTTGCATAGATAATCAGATAAATTGTGTGGTTATGGTGAACGAACATTTTGCGTAATGGCTGTGTATTGATTCAGTTTCTGCACGGGAGACGTTTGGTTTTGAATTCTGATAGAGCAAACTAAGACTTGCTATTGATCATGCTGAATATGAGCACTGAAAGAACACATGCTCTCTAGTTTCATTCTCAGTGGCAACAGAACATATTGCACTAGTTATCCATACTCACAGCCAGGGGCGGACCTACCTTTGTGTGTTAACCGACATACTTTGGTTCGAAATTTTTGTGAAGAACCAACATTATTTCAGTGTAAAAAGTTCGGACATGGGACCTCCGACACACTTCTAATAATTGTAACCGACACATCTTATTACATAACAAAAATTTAGTGGTCATAATTTTATTAAAATATGTATATATAGAGTTATCGGACTTTTAGATTAGGTAAAGTCAAGTAACAAGATAGTGTTGCAGACTGTATTTCCCCCGTAGATTCCTCCATAGATTTTTCTTTTAAGTTAATTTTCAACTTGCTTTCTAGTTTAGTCATTTCTTTCCACGTTGACGTCTGTCGCACACTCCAATTATCGGCTGCGAACCGGCGACATCCTCATTCAAACTTCCATATTGACGCTTGTGGCCACCTTTCCAAATACTCATACTAGTTTTCCCATCTTAAATTAGTGTTGACTTTACCTCTTGCAACTGCAAGCTACACAATGACATTTTCCATATATGAGTTTAATCGAGAACAATCTTTGGTATAAGGTGAGTGACTAGTTTATGAATAATTGTTTAATCATGTACATAAAAAGATTTGATTACAACCTAATGGACAAATGTAACTACGAAATTTGTTAGAATATGAAAACTCGTCTTGGTTCACTATAAAAAAATAATGAAATTGGTGAAATTTATGAATAAAAGGTTTATGTTTATTTTAAATTATTAAATATTTTACAATTGTTTTTAATAACCGACACACCTATCGTAAAATTCAGGGTCCGCCATTGCTCACAACAGTGGTTTAGACATAGTAGTAATAGCATCAATAACAATCAAGCTTGTACCAATTACGTCATCAGTTTTAGGTCTAACAATGTTCCAAACTCTCTTAACAGAGTATTTAATTGTTACGTGTCATCAGTTTTAAGTCTACCAATGTTACAAACTTTCTTAACTGGGAGCGGATCCAGCGCCCCTTCTCTTTCCTGAAAAGTCTTTTATTTTCCTCATTAATCTTTAACGGACGATTTCTCACTCGTTTTAAGTTGATTTTTTATTTGCACAGTTAGATCAAATTAATTGTGCTCTTCAAAATAATATCCACTTTGATATATTTTTTGAACAAAAAAATTTGAGTCATTTTTTACTAGTCTATACCATATGGATTTGAAATAAGAGCAGACCTATTGTATGAAAAGCGTACCATGGTGGTATGAACAAACCAAAACTGTAGGATGGTTGAATACATGATAGTAGAAGTATATTAACTTTCATTTACGACTTTTAACATTGTGTACCACAAGATACCATCCCCGTACCAAGGTGGTATTGTGTGATATTTTTTGGTCCTGTATTTTGTTCACCCAGAAATTTGTTGATCCCATAGATCATGATGAACTCGTTCCTTTTGTGTAAATTTTTTAAAAACGAATTAAAAACAAAGAAGATACCATATGGTTACAGTTGGTACGGAGAGGCACGAAAAAAAATTCTAAAAAATATTGAAAATGGATCTCATTTTGTAGAGCACAACTAGTGATGGCAATGGGTCGGGTCGGGGCGGGGCGGGTACCTCAATACCCATGCCCCGCCCCACGCTATATCGGGTCGGAGCGGGTAATACCCGCGTGGGTACGGGCGGGGCGGGTTGAGCCACTCTTATATGCTATTTGAAAAAAATACAAGCAAATTTTTACTTTTTATGATAAAATAAAGGGGAAAAGACTTCATGAATGAATAATAATAGTGATAATATAATGGGTAATTGAGTCTATTTAGTTGAAAGATCAAGTCTGACTAGTTGAAGAACAGCCAAAATAGGAGATATATGAATGGATGGCGTAAGAAATTGACCTAGAACGGGCCAAGAACGGGGTGGGGTGGGGCGGGACAGGGTGAGTCGGAAGTTGATACCCATGCTCTGCCCCATGCTACTGCGGGTCGGGTAATACCCGCCCCGTCGCAGGCCAGGTCGGATAATACCCGACGGGGCGGGTTCAAATTGCCATCCCTAAGCACAACGTACTCGTTCCATATGTGCAAAAAAAAAAAGTAAAATCCGAGTTCAAACAAAGAAGATATGCGCCGATTAAGAAAACAAGGGGAAAATAAAAATGCATTTAATTCTCCACCTTTAAATCTGAATTTCCTGAATGAAGGGTCCAGATTTAGTTACTGATGGGTGCATAGCGGCTCAAGATAGAGTGCATAACGATGAGTAAACAAAGTTGGACACTTCTTTTAAGTAGCTGCAGATCTAAGGTGGAGAATTAAAGGAATTTATTTCTCTAGTTTTTTTATTGGATCATATCTTCTTCATTCTAACTCGGATTTCAATTTTTTTTTTGCACAGATAGAACTAGTTCGTTGTGCTCTACAAACTAATATCCATTTTCATTATTTTTTGAGAATTTTTTTTTCATACCTCTCGTTTCCAACTCCATACCATATGGTATCTCCTTCGTCTTTTAGTCATTTTTGGAAATTTTTGCACAGAAGGAACGATTCAAT